CACTGGTTCTCACCTCATCCCCACCCAATAATGCTGACTTTCTACTTAGGAACACTCCAAAGGCATCCTTGAAAGCCCAAGTTAACATTTTAATATCAGCAGTTCCGGTTTCTGCTATCACTAGCTGGGCACTCAGGTTTGCCCGGGACCCCACAATGCACTTTAAGATGCATCCTTGTTCAATCCTTACAGTAATCCAGTGAAAAATCACTGTGTTTTAGACAGGGTCTCTTATAATGTACGCTGGCCTAAATTTACTATGCAGTTGAGGATGGCCTTACAGTTCTAAGCCTCCTGCCTCTGCCTTCTGAATGCTGGGATTACAGGCATGAGCCGACTCACCTGGCTTCTGCAGTGCTGAAGACTGAACCCAGGGCTTCGTGCAAGCTGGGCAAGTGCTCTGCCAACCTGAATCACGTGACCAGCCCCAAGTTATTATCTATTGTACAGAAGAAACAAAGGCTCAGATAAACCATCTCTTTCCCCAAAGTCTCACAGCTATGATGGGGAAGACAGGACCAAGACCAAAATTCATCATCCTGTGATGTCTTCACTACCGGGGAGGACCTACCTGCTCCTCTGGTTCCCCATAGCTCTGATCTCTCAGCCTGAGTTCCAGCGTTGCCTTCCTGTGTTACAACTGGTTTGATAGAATGTATCACATTTTTAGCAGGTGCTTTCTGTGTGTCAAAAGTGTTATAGAGCTGGAGAACTCTCACGTCTCCCAAGAACTGGAGTTCCTTTCATGAGTGCCTAACCTTGCCCCAGCTGGGTCGTTCAAGAATGCTGGGTGAGGCTGAGATGTTACAGATTCTCTTTGACCAGCAGCCCCCCCGCCCCTTCAGGGCCAGTGTCTTCTACCTGCAGCATAGCAGGAGATACAGGGGTAAAACACACTTGCATTGTATCTTTTGTGACTTGGGGCAAATGGTTAAGTAGACATTCCAAGCCTTGGTTTCCCCAGTTATCAACAGAGAGTAAAGTTGGACTACACCACAGGTGTGTTGGGATTTTCCCATGAAGCAATATACTTGGAGGAGTTAGTCCTGCCTGGCACCCAGGAGGTGGGCATTAGTAATTTTTCTTATTTCTAGTTATTGTTTTCTTTCCCCTTCATCCTCCTCTGACTCATGTATGCATGTGCACGTGTGTATGTGTGCACGAGTGTGCTGGTCCATGTGGAGGAGGACAGATGACAACCTCAGAGGCCATCCCTCGGAGCCATCCATCTTGTTTTTTTTTTGAGATAGGCTCTCTCATTGGCTAAGAGCTTGCCAAATAGGCTAGGCTGGCCATCCGGCAAGCTCCAGGGATGTGCCAGTCTCTGCCTCCCCAGCATTGGGATTATAGTGCACACCAGCACTCCTGGCTTCTCTACTTAGCTTCTGGGGATTGAACTGAAGCCTTGATGCTTCTGTGACAGGTGTTTATCAACCGAACTATTGGCCCCTGCCTTGTAGTTGCTATTTTCTGAGACTGTGGTACCATGTTTCACATACTAGAGGCTTGGTGCATAGCAGCTGCTCAGAGGGAAGTGGGCACTTGGGGTCAGCAGATAGAAATTCACAGACAGGCGGTGGTAGCGCACATCTTTAATCCCAGCACTTGGGGGTAGAGGCAGGTGGAGCTCTGAGTTTGAGGCCAGCCTGGTCTACAGAGCGAGTTCCAGGACAGCCACAGAGAAACCCTGTCTTGAACACCCCCCACCCCCACCAAAAAAATCCAAAACAAAACAAACCCCACCCCACCCCCAAAACAAACAAATGAAAAACAGAAGCTCTCAGTCACTGCCCTCCACAGGCTGGCCGGCCATCCCTACTCTGATGTGGAAGACACCGCTAACCCTGCTCCTCAGCAGCAGTGTCACTGGGAAGCCAGGGGCAGGCACCGGCCTTGTCCACCCGCTGGATCTCCTGCTCAGCTTCAGCATCTACTCTGGAAGGAATGGGCCGCTCTTCGGGGTTGTCTGGCTTTCTGTTGGTGCCATCTAGTGGTGAAGTGAGGCTCCCCGCCGGTCTGTAGTAGAGGTGCCAAGAATTTCCGCATCGCATCACGGCTACTGCTGGCTGCCCATCCATGCATCTTCACCTGTGCCTCCTAACCCTTACTCATAAAGACCCAAGGACTCCATCCTCGTCCATGAGGCAAAAGGAGCCCCTGAGTTTCTGGTTTCTTCACCTTCCCCTCTCTGGCCTGGCACCGACCTCTGATTCTACACTCTGGACATCACTAAGGGATGATGACCGTGGTTTCTCAAGGTCAAGGTTGGAGGAAGAGGCTTCTTTCTGGCCCAAGACAGCCCAGGAATGGGGAAACCGGTGGCAGTCACTCCGCTGTCCCTGGAGCCAATTGTGAGCAATCTGAGCTCTCAGAAGGACTGACCTAGCTTCTCGGGCTCCCTACAGACTAGCAAGGAGGCTCGGCATGGCCCGGCCCGAGGATGTCAGCATAAACACTGAGGGAGGATCGATGGATAGAAACACTGTGTGAGCCTGGGAAAAACCCTTGTGAACCTGGCTGGGAAGTCCCACCTTCCCTGAGCTTTAACGCTGGATGGGGAGTGGACTACGTGAGAAGGGCCTCTGAATTAAGGTGAAGACAACTGGGTTTCCCACGTCAAGATCTCTGGACTAAAACACTGGGAACGAATCAACACGCACCTCCTCTTCTTGGTATGTCCTGAGACTAGGTCTCCTGTATCCCGGGCTGGCCTTGAATGTGATGTGTGGCACCTCCTCTTCTTGGTATGTTCTGAGACTAGGTCTCCTGTATCCCGGGCTGGCCTTGAATGTGATGTGTGGCACCTCCTCTTCTTGGTATGTTCTGAGACTAGGTCTCCTGTATCCCGGGCTGGCCTTGAATGTGATGTGTGGCTGAAGGTGTCCCTGAACCCCTGATCCTTTTGCTTCCACTTGCCAAGCGATGCCATCACGGGCTGCTCTACCAGCCTCTGTTACTTGGGACTCTCCATTAGCAACACCCCGTAACTGGATCCTGGCAACTGCTTTGTCCTCAGGGATCAGAAGGAAGGGTCTATGTACTAGCAAGTAAGGGGATGGATATTTCTGGGGTTTTGAAAGGCAGAGGAACCTCCATAGTCCAGTACACATCCTTCAATTTCCTCCTCAATGTGGGTCCCGCTGTAGCAGCAGAAGGAAGCAAAGAACTAGCCAGGCTGCCCCACTGACCCCTCAGCCAGGTCTGTTCATTTGTTCAAAGAGGGGCCAGGGCAGCCAGGGCAGGGGGTGGGGGCTTGTTGCCCAAGGAGGTATTTTCAGAGTCTCCCGCCCTCCGGAGTTTCCAAGGACAGAACAGAGCCCTGTCTAGTATTTGACCAAATATGGTGGTATCTCTCAAGGAGCTCACGCCCCAGCCAGCTCCTCAGTTATGCTGTGGAAACCTGCCCCACACAGATTAATCTTGTGACATTCAGGAGCCTCTCACCCTGCCCTCCTCCTCTCCCCAGTGCTTGTAAATGGCCAAGGCTGTTGTCCCTCAGCAAGACAAGGCAGGGGAGCTTGCCTACCATGCCTCCTCCTCTGCGGCCCACCCCCGAGTGCCTCCCAGGGGGCAGATTTGCTCACTCGCATTCAGTTGTCCAGTCAAGGTGAGCGACCTTAGCCACAGACAATGGTCACTTTAGCTTGTGGGGGCTCCATGGACCCCGGGGTCACCGGAGCTCATGAAGCTGGAGCCCGCTTTAGGAAGGCTGCGTGCAGTGTCTCAGCCGGCAGGGTTGGTTTGAGGGGTGCAAGAGAGAGGTGCAAAGACCCTGAGCCCTAATACTAAGACAGCAGTGGTATATAATAAGAAACATAATCATAATTATTACAGCATCATTTTATAATAAACAGCAGGGTGTTTATTGAGCACTCACTCTGCCAAGCATTGTCAGCTATGACGTGGCTTATTTCTTTATTCTTTGTAGCAACCTCAAGAGATGTGGAAACAGACCTAGGCATGAAGTGGAAGTCAGCAGGGTCGCTATTCCCAGGATGTAACTCCCATTATACAGAGGGTGAAACTGAGGCTGAATGAGGCCATAAGCAGTCAGTCATACACGGGACAGGCCCTGAAAGTGGAGATCTCTCACGGAAGATGGCAAACGTGCCTCCACAAAGGCCGTAACAGTTGGCCATGAAGCTTTTAGGCATCTGCAACTTGGCCTGGGTGGAGCACACAGACGCAGAAACATGTTCATAGAGGGATAGAGCTGTGCAGAAAATATCCCAACACAAACAGGGTAGGGTGGTGTGTCGAGTTCTGGATGGGAACCTGGCCCAAATCCCAGCTCGGACACCGCTGATTCACTGTGGAATAGCAGACAAATCCCCTGCTGGCTCAGGCCTCAGTTTCCCAGCCTGTGAACTATAGGGTGGGCAGTGGAGCTCACCTGAGGTTGTTTGGCGTAACTGAGGCTGTTTCCCTGGGAGACAGTGCTGTCTGGCTCTGGGCCAACAGACTCTGGACATTTTCTCTTTCCACCAACCAGCAGCCCATCTCTCCTCCCCCTCCCCCTCTGCCCTGGTCATCCCCAAAGCAAACGAAGCTGATTGTCTTAACTGGCTCTGTGGGTGCTGGCTGGTCAGCCGGCCGCAGGCCGCAGGCGGAGGTGCCATCAGCCAGGGCCCCACCAGACACACAGGGCATTGTCCTTCGGTCAACAGCCCCTGGGCACCTCAGGGCCTGGCTCCTGGCCTACCCCACACCCCTCACCGCCTGCCACTGTGCTAAGGCCCAGTCAGCTGGGGGCCCGAGGCTCCCAGCTGACAGTGAGCCCACCCACCCACACCCCCAGCAGCCCCCTGTGGAGCTATAATTGCCTCAGTCCATCCTGTTGCTGCCATTCTCTCTCTGCGGCATCTGGGGTTCCTGTTGGGTGGCAGCTGCAGGCCTGCCGCCTGGCTTGGTGGGATGGACTGGCCACACAGCCTGGTACGTGGTGCTCCCTTCTCTGTAGCTGTTCTTCGCCATTGATTAATGGCTGCCTGTGTTTGGCTTGGAGGTCTGCAGGGACCAGTTCTGTCCTCTCTTCAGGCCCAGAGAGAAACAGAGCTTGGTCTCAGCCAGCAGTCATGGCCCAAGGCTTGGGCTCCAGCTCTGGGCACAGTCTGGTCACACTGGAACTCTTTCAGGAAGCAGTGTCTGGGGCGATCTGGACAGGCTCGGGCACTAGAATTTTTCCAGACCTGGCTTTTGGGATCTGGGCAGCGTACATGATCCTGGGCAAATCCTTCTGTCTTTGTTTCCCATCTGGAAATTGAGGGAGGGGATGTTGAGTCTGGTCTGTTTCCCCTGCAAGGTGAGTTGAGGAACGTGTGGGAAGCTCAGCTGGGAATGCCTGTAGTGAGGGAGATATCTCTGCAGCAGAGTGTAGAACCAAAAGGAAGGATTTAGCAACCCGAATCACTGCTGTGGCTCTGCCAAGGGGGGGCTACGCTGGAACTTGTTTCCAAGGGTCAAGGCTTGCTGGGTAGCCTGGATAATAGACCAGGCCTGGCCCCAGTGGGCCGAGAGGTGCAGGGAGGGCACAGAGTCTGGTAAGACTCAGGAAAATACCGAGAAAAGGTGAGCAAGAATAAGGTAAGGCAGGTTGTCTGCTGCTGAGGAGGGGGGGGATAGTATGTGTGTGTGTGTGTGTGTGTGTGTGTGTGTGTGTGTGTGTGTGTGATAGAGAGTGTGATAGAGAGTCTGTGTGTGTGTGTGTGTGTGTGAGAGAGAGAGAGAGAGAGAGAGAGAGAGAGAGAGAGAGAGAGAGAGGAAATGCAGTCTCATAGGACCCATGTGCCAGCTCTGTAGAGTGTTCCTTCTTCTCGCCCACTCTGTTTCAACTCATTTCCTTTCAGCAAAGCCTATAAACAGCTCAACCCCCCCCCCCACTCTTCCACGTCCCTAGAAGACTTTAGCTGCCTCTGCTCACGATTCCTCCTTCTTATTTCATCGGATGAGTCTCCAGAAAAGCTGGGCCCAGCCATCTTGCTGACCCAAACCAAGGGAGAGCCCTGCTCTCCAGCCACCCCTGCACAGGTCACTCCCGCCACCCTTCTGCTCCACCCCCAGAGTTAACAGGACAGCCTCCAGGGCAGGCATGGTGGTGGAAATCTATTCACTCTGCATGTGCTCCCACAAGTCTGACGCCATGCAGATACAGACACGAGGGATAAGAAAGGAGCTCGGTGCTCTCAGGGAGTCTGGGTCTGGGGGAGCAGTTTCAGGGATATCAAAGAATACCCTGTCCAAGTACAACTGCAGATGCGTTAGGGACACGTGTGGTATGGTGACTCCAACATGTTCGAAAGCATCGCTGGGGCAGTGACCTGGAGCCCGCAGCTGGGTGAGATGTTCAGGAGGTGGAAGGAAAAGGCAGGCCTCGGCAGGCAAAGTGCAAAAGTCCTCCCACAGCAAGGAACATGGCGAGCGAGCGCAGGCGCAGAGGAGGCAAGGAGGGCACAGGAGACTCCCGAGGGCCGCAGGAAGGACATGGAGCGGGAGGCGGTATTGTCAGATGCGCTTTGCAATGGCCGCCACTGATGCCGTGAGTTGATTAGAAGTCAGACAGGCTCGGGAAAGCCAGTTAGGAGGTGGTGGAGCAGACCTGGGGAGCAGCCAGGGTCTGCAGATTGAGCAACTAGGGTGCGTAGGGGTGTTTTCAGGAGATAACTGAGTTTAAGGACTTCAGGATGCGGGGTGGGGGGTAGAGGCTGGTCATCAGTGTCCAACACGAAAAGAGTGTCCATACACAAGGTGCAGAGGCCTCTCTCCTCTGTGCCCTAACCCTAAGCCTTGGCCCAGAGAGACTTGGTTCTGGCCTTTGACCAATAGCCTTCTTCCTCAGCTATTCCTTCTTGCCATCTCTATCTTCCTGGGGCCAAGCCAGCCCCGCAACACCAAAGGCAAAAGGAAGGGGCAAGTGCGGCCTGGCCCCTTGGCCCCTGGGCCTCACCAGGTGCCACTGGACCTGGTGTCTCGAGTGAAGCCCTACGCCCGAATGGAAGAGTACGAGAGGAACCTTGGAGAGATGGTGGCCCAGCTGAGGAACAGCTCTGAGCCAGCCAAGAGGAGATGCGAGGTGAACCTGCAGTTGTGGCTGTCCAACAAGAGAAGCCTGTCTCCTTGGGGATACAGGTAGGTGGGCTGGGCACAACAGGCCGCCGTTTCCACCGCCCCGACACTGTGTTCAAGACCTTGGATTCGGGTGGATTTTAATCCCACTTCTGCATTTTACCACCCGTGAGGCTTTCGGTCATTTGAACAGCTCTGCTGAGCCTCAGTTTCCCCAGCTGTCAGTGGAAGTGATGGCGGTATGTACTTCACAGGCTATTGTAAACACACAGACAGACACAGCACTTGCCCTTTATCCTCCAGGACCCGGCTGGAGTGCTTCTGAAGTTCTCTGTCCAGCATGGTGGCTCACACTTGCTGGCTATGCTCACATCTCTTTCATGCCAGACAGGCGCCTTCTTAACGCTTGCCTCAGATACCATGATCACGGTGGTGTTTTTCCAGGGCAAGGCTTATCCATTGCACTCCAGATGTGCTGACCCCTGCAATTTCCCCAAATGTGAGAAACTTGATGGCATAATCCGTAGTAGTGGGGGACAGTGTTTCTGCTCTCCCCTCTGAAAAACGAAGTCTGCCTCAGAACCACCTCAAGGTTCCCGTGTTCACCCAGTCAGAGCCTCTGGGATGCCTGGATCATGGTGTTGCACCTGCTTTTCCATGCTTGGGGTACATGGCCCCACTTTGACTTAGCTGCCCTGGGTTACAGAAGCAATGGGTGTGTTCAGCTCCACCTCCTAAGTCAGCATGCAGAAGGGGCCCAGGGTACATGGATTAGATGAAATAAAGAGATGGCTAGCTCATTCACAAACTCAGCCCAGAGCTTTTCCAGCTACACTGTTTATATCCCTAAGACTCTAGAATAGCACTGTTGGCCAGAATTTCCTGTGATAAGGTCCGCTGTGGTAGCCAGGTGACTACTTAACCATTGGAATGTGGGACTGAAGGACTAGCATAGATTGACTCAAATTTAGGTTGGCACATGTAGCCACTGGCTACTGTGCAGAGTGGTGTAGCCCTGGAATGTGACAAAGGAGTCAGTAAGGACCCTTAAGACCACAGCTTACTCCTGGGTCCATGTGTCAGTCGGAGATTATGAAACTATAGGCTCATTCAAGAGACTTCAAATTTATTTTCAAGGAGCTCCCAAGCAAAGTGTGTTCCTAGGTTCAATTCTCTTACCTCTCATTCATGTTTAACTGAGGAGGAAACTGAGACAGAGGAGAAAGGGCTCAGAGCAGATATTCTAGGTCTGGGACAATCCTAGAAGGATCTCACCAACAAGTGTCTCAAGTCTAAGACAAATATGCTTTTAACATAGTATGTGTATAAAAATACAGTCCCCAGAATTCACTTAGGGGAGGACACTGACTCCACAAGTTGTCCTCTGGCTCCTTGCAAGGTCTCCTCTGAACTCTAATTAATTAATAGAACAAAAAACCCAACAACTTGTCGAGCTGGGCATGGTGTAATTCCAGCACTGAGAAGGATGAGAAAAGAGAACTGTAGCCAGGAGGTTACCCTGAGCTACAAAACAATCAACCACCCAAACTGAAACAAAACAAACAAGAAGCCCGGCGGTGGTGGCGCACGCCTTTAATCCCAGCACTCGGGAGGCAGAGGCAGGCGGATCTCTGTGAGTTCGAGGCCGGGCTGGACCGACAGCCTCCAAAACAATACAGAGAAACCCTGTCTCATAAAACCAAAAGAACCCCAAACAAACAAACAAACAAACAAAAAACAAACAAGAAGGAAAAACTGAATCAATCCAAACCAAACCACAACACGACAAAGCTCGCTGAGACTCTGAGGGCCAGTAAAACAATAGAACACAGGCCCAGGTCCTCTTCCAATGCAGATAGTACATCCACGTGTGAACGTTTTACTTCTGTAGATTAATTCCCCACAATACAAAAATAGGGTAGAGAAGGGAGAGACGAGGGCAGGCTTGGGTTTTTCCATGGTCCCCATGGTATCTTACTGGGTGAAAGGAGGAAGTTGGTGCCACCATGGTGACATGGAAACTGACTAGCAGTGACTAGCTTTCCAGCTCTCAGTCACCTTTTTTGGGAAGGCAGAGTTTATTACTACACACTCTGGCCACTAGCCCTAACCCTAACCCTAACCCTGCAGGGCACCCTGGGTATGGCATGAGCAGCTCCTTTGCTGCTCATGGTGGCGCTCATCCTGCTCTCTCCCGCTCACCTGCTCCCCACAGCATCAACCACGACCCCAGCCGCATCCCTGCGGACTTGCCCGAAGCGCGTTGCCTGTGTCTGGGCTGCGTGAATCCCTTCACCATGCAGGAGGACCGCAGCATGGTGAGTGTGCCAGTGTTCAGCCAGGTGCCCGTGCGCCGACGCCTCTGTCCACCACCTCCGCGCCCTGGACCCTGCCGCCATCGCGTCGTCATGGAGACCATCGCTGTGGGTTGCACCTGCATCTTCTGAGCCAACAACCCAGTGGCCACTGCAACTTCTTCCTCCCTGCACCCTCTGTGTCTGGCAAGGCTGAGAAACAGTAAACGTTGTCCGTTGTAAAGAAAGGCATTGGGCTTGCTCCTTGTGACTAGGAAGCTAAAATCGTGTCTGGGAAACAAATCCCAGATCTGTTTGTCCCAGTCAGTCCCACAAGAGTGAACCAGGCTATCAGAAACTTCTTGCTGGGGATGTAGCAAGAGTTAAGAGTGTCTGCCCAGCACAAATGAAGCCTGCGTTCCATCTCTAGCCCCACATAAAACCAACGGGGTGGTCCACATCTGTAATTCCAGTACTCTGGAGCTGGGTGGGTCAGCAAATTCAAGGCCACCCTTGGCCATGAGTATAGCCTCAGAAACAAATGCTGCTTCCGTTTCTATCTTTTTACATGGTGGCACACTTCACGCTCTTCCTTGTAGCAGCTGTGTAACTGGAACATGGTTTACATAAGCCAGTATGCTACCCAGCTAACTCAAGTTACTAAGACACACGCTCCAGGTTCTGCAGTGCCACGGCTAGGGCTCTGGATGCTGTGGCGATGACCCTTGTCACAGATTGGAAAGGTTGCCCTCAGGCCCAGGATACTTGCAGAACAGACCAAATCTCTCCCAAATGGCCCTCTGGTTGCAAAAGAAGTCCTAAAATCTTTTTTTTCCCCCTGGAAGAGGAGCTCTGGTTTTTAAACACTCAAAAAGATGTAAGGCCAACTGGATAGATAATTTTTCATTCAACCACTTATCTGCAGTTCTGGGGTACCAGTATCTGTGATCCTCAAAATGTCAGTGAGTCAGTCACCCAGGAAGCTTGTTCAGACAGACTTCTGGCCCTGTACTCAGAGGTGCTAACTTAGGTGGGGATTGCTGGGGTGTTTTTTTTTTTTTTCTTTCATTTGAATGATGTGGTTTCTCTTAATTTCTGCTATTGTGGGTCCTGGGGGTGCTGATGCTGTCATCTGTGACCACACGCTGAGAACCAGTGGTCACATCAAAACATTCTACTGACAAACACAGGCAGTATGGACTTATCTTAAAGCCCATACTGGGTTTTACCCCTTGTAACTGAATCTTGCCCCCTGGGCCTTCTAATCCCACAGCAAATCCCCAATCAGCTGTCCTGGGCTCTAAAAATACCTTGCCCACCCCAGGACAGCTGAGGGGCTTGGGCTATTTTCTGTGGATAAGATGGGCTAGCACTTTGTTAATGTCCTGCAAAGGGTCAATAGCCCACTGCAGGAATACTTCACTTGGCTGCTTGAGCTTGTGTGCATGCAACAGCTTCAGTGCGGAATGCTTTAATTGTCTAATTCATGAAAAGCCAATGGTTAGGTATGTGCCTGTCTGGGCTGGAAAGTAACTTACCTTTTTTGGTATTGTTGTAGAGTGTATACTGGTTAAAATTACCCTGGAAGTGTTGGCCTGGTTCCAGACACATGGAAAATAGACTCCACGTGCCAGCTCATGCCGATCCCTTTAGCAGCCACTTCTGTAGGGGCTGCTTCCTTAAGGCTCCCACAGATGCTCTCTGAGTCTATGTGTGTCCCTAAATGCGGCGTATCAAACGTGGGCTTTCTACATGCTAAGTGTGTGTTTTGTCACCGGGCTATCTATCCTCCAAGTCTTGTGCGCTCTGGGTCATAGGCCCTTGTGACGGGCACAGGAACTTCCAAGGCTTTACTGGAAGTCACTGTGGGAGAAGTTGAACTGCAGGAGTCCTGGGGGAGCACAGGTAGTGTAGGTAGGAAGGAAACCCTCTTCTTGTCGAGAAGGGGCCATCCTTACAGAGGGTTCGAATCTTAGAGATGCTTGTTATGCAAGGGTGATGACTTTCCCTATTGCTGGGTTCTCATCTGTGAAACCAGCGGGTGAGGTTTCAGGGTCTTCAGGCACTTGTCCAGTCTTTACAATCCTGGGACTTAAAGGTGTAGTGCTTTTGTTTTTGAGGAAGAGAGGGAGGGAGAATGTATGCACTCATGCATACCTTGTGACTCACAGGTAACTTCTGGGACTCAGTTCTTTCCTTCCACCCTGGGGATCTTGGGGTTGAACTGAAGTGTTCAGGCTTGCCAGCAAGCGTCTTAATCCACTGAGCCTTCTTGCTGGCTTGAAACTTGGCCTCTTGGGCCTGAGCAGGGATGCTCACGCCTTGGGAAAAGTGAGTCTATAATGAATGTAGAAACTTACTTGGGTCTAAGGCTAAATGCACATTTCCTAGCTAGAACATGACACATATAAACAAATGCAGAGGCTTCCAGAGGACCTACCACCTGCCCCCTGGCTTCCTTTAGTGCTGTTTTGTGTGTGGGTGGGAGCGAGGCATTCCTTAACACCTTACTCCCAAAGATTTGGCTTGGGTCATCTGCTCTAGAAAGTAGAATATCTGTGTAGAGTTTTGTGGTTTTCTTTTCTGAGACATGTACCCCAGGTTGGCCTTGAACTTACTATGTAGCCAAAGATGACCCTGAACTTCCCATTCTCCTGCCTTACCTACTGAATGCTGGGATTACTGCCAGTGATATGATGGCCATGATCCAGGGCTTTGGGCATGCTAGGCAAGGACTCTATTGACGGAGCTGTGTTCTTAGCCCTATGTACAGGGTTTTCTTAGCCCTGAGTGTAGGGTTTTCTTAGCACCGTATGCAAGACTTTAAGTGCTCATTATACTGCACTGAGGACTACAGACAGTAAGGGTGGGGCCTTTTCTGTTTTGCAGGTCAGACTCACAGGCCTAGGCCTAGGGAGGGAATGTCTGCTTTGGCTAAGGTGGGTCCTGGGACAAAGCTTTCAGTTGGCCAGTGTTCCTCTTTCTGGAATCTGTCCTGCCAATGATGAGACCATGAGATGAACCTGGAGGCTTGGGCAAGTGGACCTCAGGGCACTGGGAGTGGCTTTAGATTGGAGCTGTTTAGGCATGCCTATTCAGGCAAAGGAGGCTCTGAAGTGCAGTCAGCTTTAGCTGAAGCCCAGTGGAGGACCTGTCCTTGGGTCTAAGCCACACCCTCCTTACGGACCCAAGAGAGCAGAGTTAGCAGAGTGTGCTTTGCATTGCCTTCCTCTGGCCCAATACCAGTCATACAATGGCAGCCTGGCCATCTGCATTTCAAAGTCCATTGAAAGACACCCTCACACTTTTTGAACTTGGGGCATGGGGGCTCTTAGGTTCCCTCCACAGCTGTGACATTTGGATAAGATCTCTGCTCCAGAGGTTAGTATTATTAGAACCTGCTATTCTAAGGAAATCAGTTTATTCTATGACCCCACTACTGGTCCAGTGTCTGAAGCCCAACCAATCAGCACTTGGCCCTGCTCTGGTCACAGGTATCGGTGCTGGGCTGGTTCATATGGCCTACGTTAGAAATTTGACTCAGTGGCTGTGGGCGACCCTCCCACTGGGGGAGCTGATGACTCAGCAGCCTTTGGCTGAGAGGGAAGGACCTGGGGATTGCCCTGTCCTCTGCATGTATCAGTAATATCTTCATCATTCAGTTTTCATTTCACTTCAACCAAAACTTGTTTTACCGGTGCACCAGTCCTACGGCGTCTGTAATATCTTACCACGTGCAGATCATTTGTGCCCTAAAATCATCTCTTTACTGCCATAGCCATCACCTGGGAAAGCATGAACCTTCCTTCATTCCAGTGTGAGCCTAAATGCAGAGGGGAGGGGCTTTTGCTCTAGGCTGAACTCAACTAAGGTGGAGCTCCAAATGGGGATTGTTCTATAAAACTTAGCAGAGACCTCAGACAAGTTATGTCCTCTGTGAGCTCTTGTCTTCCTTGCAGAAGAAAAAAGCCAGACGACTCTCAGGACTGTCTGTTGGGCAAGCTTCCAGGCCGGGATCCTCCGGTGGTCTTGTGTCCTCTGTGCACCCAAGGCCCTCCCTTAAAGCAAAGCTTAACAAGTCTGAGTGGTTTGCAAGTTTTGTGTGTGCACATGTGTGTGTGTGTGTGGGTGTGTGTGTGGGTGACCCACACTGGCTCCACTCCTCAGTGTGCCCCTCTGCAGAAACGCACAGGCTCAAAGGAATGAAGACAAGTTTCACTCCAAATGCACTGATCTGGGTGCATGCTGGTACTGAGACTTGAACCAGGGGCTTCATGCATTCCAAATATATGCCCTCCACTGAACTACGCCTGCGATCCTCGATCTTTATTTTATCTATTTCTGTAATGGTTTGACGGTGCCAAAGCCAAGGCCTCCCAAATGCTAATCATGCACTCTATCACTGATCTTTATAGGCTACAGAAAAAGCACAGCCCAATTCTCTCTCGATGAAGCCAGTGCTAGAGAAAGCACCAGATTAACCTCCAAAGAACTCCATCCCACAGCATCCTTTCCCCTGCTGGGGGCGGGGTGGAGTTCGGGGGTGAGGTAGGACCACTCTGTACCACCCCAGGACTTGCCTCCTTTCAAGCCAGATCCATCACATGACTCCTGTACCTTACTTAAAGAGCACGGTCAATCCTTCCAGGGGTCGTCAAAGCTTCCTTTCTTCCTACCGCTCAACTTGTCTCCATTTTCTACCTGCTTGATTGACAGGAAGCCCAGAGCTCCACGGATTATCAGTGTGGGGCTATCAGTCCTATCAGTCATGCGCAATGTTGGGGTGGGGGGAAGTGTGGTGATGGTCTCTAAAGATGTTCTGAACTAGAACCCGCACCAGATGGCCCATCCAAATGTTGACATTTTCTGATCTTGCTTTCTCTTAAGTAGCTGGTTGTAATGTTTTGCTGTAGGCTATGCATTAGGGAAATTGGTAACAGAAGACGGAAACGAGAGAAAACTGAGTTCTTTGCTTTATATGCCTTCTCACAGTCATCTTGGCTTCTAGTGAGAAAATGAAGTCAGAAGTGGCTTGGAGGATGGATTTTTATTTCTTCCTGAACAGTAACAAAAACACCCCACCAAAAAAACCAAAACAAACCAAAAACCAAAAAAAAAAAAAAAAAAAAAAATCCAAAACACTGACCTGAATTTCCTTCCCTTTTCTTAATCTCTCCCTTAAAAAACAAAAAAAGGCACCCTCTAAGAGGATCCTTAGGCAGATAGTAGGTCACCTGGACCCACACGG